TATTAAAGGAGAGATGTTAATTTAACCTTTTTTCAATTTTAGTAGTTAATATTAATTTATCTAGGAACTTGGTGATATTTGGTTTGTCAAAAAAGAATGTTGAGTCCAAAATAATGTAATATAATAGGTATTTTTGTGAGTGTACGGTCATTTTTACACAAATATCGATTTTTTTTTATGTAATTTGACTTAAGATGAAATTAATATAAAATTGAATGATCGATATTAGTTGGCAATGCCATTGGAAGTGATGGTTGGACTGGGGCAACAAATTTTGAAGTGTGTTTGAAAATTAGACAATTTTTAAATTTACAAAAGTCAACCTAAACGATGAGTTTTGAATCCACAAAAGGTTTGTACTATAAAAAGGTTAAAAAAACAATAAGTTATGTACTATATTTCTTTTTAAGGATCTCGTTAATTCCTCGAATCCTTTTCTTCTTCTTATTCTACTTTATTTGATTGCTTTGTAAGATTAATACTTTTATTAATGTACCACTAAGATAATATTTGAATTTGTGATGGGAAGGTATTGCGCCTATATAGAGATAGGCTTGTGAATTATTGTTGGAGTTCGGTAGAAATGGGTTTCGGGGATGTCATTGGGTTGCATGTTGGTTTACAATCAACCAAACTTACTTTGTTTATAATGGTGGTTGGGTGATGAGCTTGGTTGAGGAAGAGGCTCGTTAATGTTTGTAGGATGTTGATGTCGAGGAATGTGGAGAGCAATCCCAATATTTTTATAAAGATGTTGTGTTTGAGATCGAAATTGTTGCCAATGACCAAGATAGCATCAACGTAGAATGGTGAGTAGGAGTGATGATGATATATGAGGAGAGAGGGGTCTGTTTGGCTTTTGTGAAAACTAAGATTAAGTAGATGACCCGTGAAAGTATTGAACCATTAACGTGGTGATTGTTTTTGCCATTAAATAGCCTTTCGTAGTTGGCATGTGTAATGGTGCTTGTGTTCATCTGAATATATCGGGGGTCGACGCATGTAGATGGTCTCCTGAAGATCACCGTGAAGGAATATGTTGGAGACATTTATATGCAAAATTGTCCAAATTGTCTTGTGACTTTGAACTAATATTGTTAGGAGAGTTTTAATTGTTAGATGTCTGGCTACGAGGATGAACGTGTTTGTGTAGTGTAAGTTGTATTCTTGTTGATAGCCTTGAGTGACCAAGCGAGCTTTGTACTCGGCTATGGTTCCATCAAGTCGACACTTAATCTTGTATGTCCACTTACTGCCAAAAATGGACTGATTTGGTGGAGATGGGACTAGGTTCCATGTGCGATGATTGTGAAGTGCGTCAAGTTTTGCTTGCATGGCCTATTGCCAATGAGAGCATCGAGCAATTTCTTAAGGCGGTAAAGTGCTCACGGTTTAGGATTTGTTTAGGTTTGAGAAACCTAGTTCTATATCTAGTAATCATGGGATGAGAAGTTGGTTTAGGCGTTGTAGGTTGTGGCTGGGGAGGAGTTTGATTTTAGTGGTGTGAAGAGACTTTTTGTGGCTGTAGGCAACGAGGAACTCGGTGATGAGGAGTTTAGTTTGTTTGAGGAAATTGAGGTTTGTAGTATAGGCTGTGTGGAACATATGGGGAGGGAGATGGGAAGGAGTGTGATTTGTGTTTGAATGAGTGCGAGAGTGGAGAGGAACTTGTTTGATATTGGAATTGGAAACTAAAGCACATTGAATGTGACGTGCCAGGATATGATATTTTTGTTGGTTGGAGGATAAAAGAAATTTTAACCTTTGAAGTTATCGAGATAACCAATAAAATCACATTGCTTGGATCATTGACCTAATTTAGTGTGATGTGATGGAGGGAACATAGGGAAGCACACACATCCATATGATCTCAAACTTTCATGTGGCGGTGAGTGTTTGCAGAGGTGGTGATAGGGAGAGGTATTTTGAGTGTTGGGGGATAGTGTATGGTTAATTAAATAAACAACTATAAGTATAGTATTGGGTCATAATTTTAGCGGTAAGTTAGATGCGGCTAATAAGGTTCTTGTTATTTCAAGTATGCGGTGGTGTTTTTTTCCAACGATAAAGTTTTGTTGTGGTGTGCATGTGCATGAATATTAATGAATTATGCCTTGGTTGGCCAAGAATTCATAAACTTTTGTTTTTTGTATTCCCATCCACCGTCGAATCTTAGAATTTTAATATGTGTTGAACTATTTTTTAACTTGATGATGAAATTTAATGAAGTGAGTTAGAGTATCAGATTTGTGGGTCATTGGAAACAACAATGTGTATCTAGTGGGATCATCAACAAATTGACATAAAATTAATAACATTGATTAAAATTATGTTGGGATTGCCCTTACACTTCAATGTGAATAAGTTCACAATGGAGAAACATATGATTACTAGAAGAAATGAAAGCTAATATACGTTTTTTAGCTGCATTACATGAATTGCAAAATGAATTAAAACTAGGAATTCAAAGATGAGGATGTTGATTAGCTATAGCACTAAGTGTGTTGTTACTGGGGTGACGGAGTCGATAGTGTCATATGTCAGGAGTGGTAGCTCTTTATAATAGGGCTTGCTTGCAGATGGGGATGAGATAGAGTCCCTCAAGGTAGGGGCCTCGTAGGAGTATTTGTTTGGTTGTGTGATCCATGATTTGGTGTTCGGAGACATCAACCACAGTGGTACAATTGTTATCAGAAGCAAATTGAGATATATAAATGAGATTGTGAGTAATTTGTAGAGTGTTACAAAATTTGGAGAGGGAAAGCTTACAAGTGGGAGTGAAGAGGAGTCCTTGACTATTGTTTTGGATGGAGATGACACTTCCATTGCCAACAAATTTGTGTTATTGTCGTTGGTATGGCTATGAGTACTGTAGATTGTCGATATCAGCTATCATATGGTTTGAAGTTATGGAGTCAACCCACCATTCCTGATTTGAGGTGGGCATGATAATGAGAGTTTGGTGCTTTGTTGATTGCTTAGGCTAGTAGTTGAGATTTGAGCGATGCTAGCACTGAGGCGTGAGATGGCAGTGTTCGAGGTAGATTTGTTAAATGGCAACATTGTTGGGTTTGGAAGATTTTGATTGCCTTTGCTTGAACTTCTGTAGAAATGATTAGTGCTACCCCTTCTTCTGTAGTTAGTGTGGCTGTGTTCCCTTTAGGATATAGTGTCATGTGGCAGTCCAGTTGATTTGCTTTGGTTAAGTTGTCGCTGAAGATGCAGATCTTTTCGTTATGAAGAATATAATACAAATCTTTGAGGTTAATCAACGATATGGAGGTTTTGACTGTTGTTTTGAGTGTACGATAAAGTGAGGGCAGTCCTTTATGGATGTAAAGGAAAAATCCTTTAGTGTCCACCGATGATCTGGATGCAGTGATGTTATCCATTAGCCCTTTAATTTGGGTAAGATATTATGAAATTATTTTATTTTTCATTGTCACATTGTGGAGTTCATCCTTTAGCATAAATAACCGCTAACAATTAGTAGCTTGTAAGCATTTCTCAAGCACTCCCCAAATTTCATTGCAACTGTCCAGATTGATTACGTAGGGTAACATAGTGGTTGGCATTATGGAGAGTATGGTTGTGGCTAAATATGATCTATAAGAGTCCATGCGCTGTGAGCCGGGTTAGAAATAGTTGTGCCTGCATTAGTTGTCATGATGGCTGGAGGTCTTGGAGTGGAACTATCAGTGAGTATGCCAAATTTGTTCGCCTTGATTAGCTTCAACACCTATGATTTCCGCAATGGATAGTTTTTGGTAGACAATGAGATGTTTGAAACATATTCGATGTTTGAAACCATAAATTTTAGGGAATTGAGCAACAACATATTGTCAATCTTTAGAGCGGCTAGGTTGTCGCTTAGAATAGAGTTTGGGGAGTCCTCCATGATCACCGTAAGGCTCGATCTTCAACACCATATAAGAATGCATTGTGAAGCAGGTAAAGTAAAACACATGAGTTACCACGAGAAAGAAAAACATAAAAGAAAGCTGCGATATTCTCTATTATGTAAGAAAGGTTTACTGCTTATGGGAAATTATGCCTCTTGTCTCTACCACAAGTGTAGCTAACAGTTACATGTATATAAGAGTGTAATGGATTATTCTAGAGATTATAAGTTGGAGTTCATAAAGTAAAAGCACTTGGCTGATAGTAGAGACTGACTGGGTATTGTATGCAGTCAGTTCGTTATTAGATTGTTAATCACTCAAAAATTGATTCGAATTTTAGCTCAAATCGATATTAGATCAACATAAATGAGCCGAGCCATGAGTTGAAATTGAGGATCGATTTTTTTCGAACAATTCACGGATCAACTTGAACTGGATCAAGATCGGTTGTAAAATTTTTTTATTTATAAAGATTATATATCATGTAAATAAAAATAAATATAACATGCTACAAGCCGATTTTAAAGTTGGAGCTAGTCCAAATAACTCGATTTGAGCCATCGTGTTTTGATTTCGAGCTAATTTTGAGCTGAAATGGATTCAAATAACTCAAATTTGAATTAGCCCGTTTCAATTTTGAGCCAAAATGAATTCAAATAACCCAAATTTGAACCAACTCTATGCAGGATCGAATTTGATTCAATTTTGAAGCAAGAGCACAAAATTTGATCGGAACTCTAGTAGTCGTACGCTGGGATTTTTATTTGGAAATATTTGGGAAGTTGGTCATGGGTGTAGTACGTCCGGTCGGCGCTACTGGAAAAATTATTGTATCAGAATACATGATCTAAATTTGCAATCAGTGGACTCAAATTATTATGCGACAACCTTATTTAAAAAATAATATATGTTAGTGGACTTAAATTATCATGCCACTCTCTATTATTGGACGGTGGATACATCAGCTGTGCTCATGCAATAATTTCTAGCTTTGCCCGAGCGTGCCAAGTTGATTTTTTCGAACCGTCATTTGTTCCGTGGAAAGATGACCTCTTTTTTTTTTTTGGTGAAAATTAACTTTTTTTTGTGAAAAATAATTTTTTTTTAGGGAAAATAAATGAAAGAACATGATTTGCTTCGTGGTCTGTATGATCCGTAGTGAACTTTTTGTATGATCCGCTGCACTTTTTGTATGATCAGCAGTGAGCTCAGCTTCGCTTTCAGCTCAATAAATGGGAAGCCGTTGATAGATCACGCTCCAAAGAATCGTTCACTATATTGTCTTACCAGTGTTAGTGGCAGTGACACTCACAGCTTTCTTCATTCTTCCGGCGCTGATGGCGGCCACTGCTGTCTCGTTGGCGGGCAGGACCGCATTGGACCCCTGCAATCTGCTCTCTATGAAATTTGCACGGAAGACTGCGCGCTTCCACGTGAAGGCTTCTTCCGCACATTCCACTGTTACCGAGCTTAAGGTTTCCATCTCATACGCTCTCTCATTCCTCTAAATCGTCGATTTACTTAGGGCTAGGGTATTGCAGATTAAGTCCATTCCTACGAAGCCAGTGGAAGGGCAGAAGACGGGGACCAGTGGTCTCAGGAAAAAGGTTTAGTGGAGCAATTTCCTGCTATGTTGCTGGAGCGATTTTTTTCATTGTTAAATTGATGAAGAAATCTATTATTCCATTGTGTCGCTTGCGATTCTAGGTGAAGATTTTCCAGCAGGAGAATTACTTGGCAAACTGGATACAGGTTTTTTGCTTTGCTTTTTCTTCTTCAGTTTGTGTGTTGATACTGGATTTGTGGAGTGAGAGTGATAAAAAATTGATTTTTGATGTGCACTTTTCTGATCGCAGGCTCTCTTCAACTCTTTGGACCCGGGGGATTTCAAGGATGGACTGCTTGTTCTTGGAGGCGATGGGCGGTATTTCAACCAAGAGGCCGCACAGGCATACTATTTTTTTCTTAACTAATGAGCCTTAGGATTATCTACACCAGTATGTTTATGTCCGCTGCTTGTGGAATACAGCTCATCATTAAGATTGCTGCGGGCAATGGTGTTGGGAAGATTCTTGTGGGCAGGTTGGGGATTTGATTCCTCTGTGTACTTAATCTAATGTTCTGCTTAGCTTGGCACGTGTTACTTGTTCAATGCATGTTGCTGTCTTATTTCAATCTAGCCACTATCCATTTCGCTTTCTGTTTTAGTCTGCCTAGCAATATTCTGATTCCTCTCCTCTTCTCATTTATAGCAATTTAAATTTTGCTTTTTTTATAATTTTTCTCAGGAAAGCTACTGTTTTTCTTGCGACTTGGAGGTAATATAGTCATTGAGTGTAGCAGTAAAGGACATGATTTAAATTTTGTGCTTTAGATGTTCTGAGGTGGAATCCTCAATTGGCCTAATGAAGTTGCTTTTGCCTTCAATTTTTGCTGTTTAGATTTTCATTTGTATCAATGACTTTGTCTCCTTGTAGCCTTGTTATGTCGTGAAGTTGTGCCTTGACGTTAACCTCTCACACACAATCTTTGATTCTTCCCCTCCCCATGCTACTTTCTACCGTTCCATCACTGTCGCCCTTAAATCAAATAGATAGTTTGGATTTGACAAAGTATTTCAATTTGAGCAATAATTAGTTGCCTGTATTCCTGAGTGACAGGGGTGAGCTTTCTACTTTTGGTGGTTTGAGAGAGTTAGGTTTGAGCTGCAATTAGTTTACATTGTCATTGTCTTGATTTGATTATTTGCATGACCCTGAGATTGCTAGGCTTGGAAACAATGACTTTTTTGGGTTATTACTGGATGGACTCGGTGTAATGTATTTTCTTGTGCTAATTAGGCAAATGAAGGGTCGGTTTTTGTACATTGTTTGGAGGATTTGAGAAACACAGAGTAATTACTACCATGTTATTTGAGTATTTGATGCAGATACTAGGCACAATCAAAAATATTTTTGGCCAAGGCAGAGGATATTTAGAAGGGAATAGTCAAACTGGTCAACAGGTGTGCTACTTGCTGCCTTTGCCACCATTTATAATAGAAGTTGAAAGCAAAGGCAGCTTCACTAGAAAAGCATTGGACTCCTTATCAAAAGACCAAAACAATTGAAGGACAAAATCATAATGTCCCCTACTCTCCAGACTCAACGACTAAATTATTTTCTAGCTATAGGACAAGCTGTAGCTTACTCAAGAAAAATAAAGGGTTAAAAAACTTGTGGTGCGATAATCGAAAAGAGGAAATGAGTCAAAATATTGCTAAGGAAATCAAAAATAGAAAGCAATATGTGGAGTGCCTTCTTGCTGCATGACAATTTCTCCTTAGACTCCACATTTTGAAAATGGCAAATGATACATGGTATCCCTTAATTATTTGTATACTATATTTCCTCATTCGTAATGCCTGGGGCGCTGTTTTTGTTGTCAAATAAGCTTGCTTTAAATTGCTATTTCATTGTTGGAAGTCACCATGGACCAAGAAAGGTAATTGTTATATATCATGACTCTTAATTATGACAAATGACACACTTGTAATTATCATGCCTCTTGGGAGGCCTCATCTATCTATAAATAGATGAGGGGTCTTGTGGGATGGATAGACCACCATAAGGAGATAGAAAAATCTGATCAAGAAGATCAAGAGGAGGAAGAAAATTCAGCAAGGAGAGGAAGAAAGAGAGGAGAGGCTTTAGAATTGAGGGAGAGGTATTGTAGAGATAGAGATCTAGAGAGACTTTGTGATTCCTCGATGTAATGAGCATGTAATTCTTCCTTTGTGCTAGTGAATTTTGGTAGTGATTCCCTCCGTGGATGTAGGTCAATCGACCGAACCACATAATCTCTTGTGTTCTTATGTTTGTGTAGTTCTCGCAATTTTCTTTTGTTCTTGTTCTTATTTGTTGCGGTTGTTCTTTTCTTCCCATTCTGTCGTTCAGGTAGCCGAAGCATTGTAGGTGCTCTTCGGCAATCCTATACTTTGTCCTGTAGCAAGATCCTCGGCATCCAAGAACTGTTGCAGGGAGGGAGAATTCTATTCTCTAGCTATAGGGATCCCGGTCAAGAACCGCAGGCCTAGGGAAGTGAACGACAAGGAGTTCTTAACAAGCAGTGCAGTAAGGTTCTTTCCAACAAGAAAGAAGTTCTTGGATCCTATTCTTGCCAGAAAGATTTAGATAATATTATTAAGTTCTTAATCATCTAACTCAATACACAAAGAGTTCCCTAGACGGTTTTCTTTTAGGTGTTCTTGGAATTTCTTGAAAGGATTCTTGACGGAGCAGATTTCATAACAATTGGCGCCGTCTGCGGGAAATTCCACCAACGACAATGAGCTCCTCAAAATTCGACATCGAAAAAGTTCACGGGAAAGAACGACTTCGGTCTGTGGCGAGTGAAGATGAAAGCTCTGTTGGTGCAGCAAGGCGTTGCAGAAGCCTCTCGGCAGCATTTTCGATTTCCAGCCGACATGACTGAGAAAGAGAAGAACGTGATTCTTGATAGGGCCCATAGCTTAATAATCCTTAGCCTTGGCAATAAGGTTCTAAAGGAAGTTTCGAGGTAGACAACAACTCAAAGCACTTTGGGCCAAACTTGAGGTCCTCTATATGACGAAGTCTCTGACGAACAGGCTCCTCCTGAAGCAACGCCTATATTCTTTCAAAATGCACAAGGACAAATCAGTCTCAGAGCAGATTGACGATTTCAACGAGATTATCGACGATCTCGAAAACATCGAGGTTAAGATGGATGACGAGGATAAGACGCTGCTACTATTAAATTCCATTCATAAGAGCTATGAGCATTTTAAAGATGCGATGCTCTATGGAAGGACACAAACAATTTCTCTAGAAGAGGTTCAATCTTTGGTCAGAGCCAAAGAACTTGAAAAGAAGCTCGAGAAGAACGAAGATATTAGCGGGAACAGTCTTGCCATTAGAGGAAGATCAGAGAAAAAGGGCTCAAGAAACAGTGAAAGTAGATCAAGATCAAAGAAAGGAAAGAATGACAAAAGTCAGTTGTCGAAAGGATCTTACAAATGTTTTCAGTGCCATAAGGAGGGTCACTTCCGGAGAAAATGTCCGGAGAGGAAGAAGAAATTTCAAGAAAATTTGAAAGATCCTGGAGAAGCAGGCATAGCCTCAGATGACTTTGATTCAGCTGAAGCACTGGTGATCATCGAATTGGAATCCAACAAGGAGTGGATCCTCAACTCGGGATGCTCTTTCCACATGTGTCCTCACAAGGACTGGTTCGAGACACTGCAACTAGCAAATGACATGTTTGTATTACTTGGGGACAACAAGGCTTGCAGCGTGGCCGGCAGCGGAACAATCAGAATTAAGATGTTCGATGGAGCCAAGCGAATACTGCAACATGTCAGGTACGTTCCCGAACTAAAAAGAAATCTGATCTCTTTAGGTATGCTGGAGTCAAGTGGATACTCGTTCAAGGCAGAAAGTGGTTGCATCAAAGTAGTCAAAGGTTC